ACTGATACTCGAAGGCAATATGTCCACCAGATAGCGGGTGCACGTGTGCTTCGCGTGCTTGTTAATGGGAAATTTTATTTCTGCCGGATATCCGTCATGGTCATGGGAAACAATTGAGGAAGAGGAGTCCGCTGGGAAAAAGCCCTCCATCACCCTCTGTCGTCTGTTTTGTTCGTTTCTCGCGACGGGCGAGCACGTCATCTTGGTTCACGTGCGTAAGCGAAACCCATTCGTTGCCGAAAATCGAAAATCACTGCCGTTTTGACTAATGAGTCTGTCAATTTCTGGCCTCAAACGCCGATAACGCCGCATCGGCCTGAATTGCTACTCTATGACGAGCGACAATCACGACGCCTTGGAACTTCCTTGTGGCCTATCGATTCGATCAGCCATCAGATTTTTAGACAGCTGGTCGCAACCGCTGTCGATGAACCGTGGAGCAGCGAACCCGACAGGATCGGTTGTATCTATTTAATTGCGGAATTGGCGTAACTCGTGATTTCTAATCAGTTGACCGGAAATCAAAGTTTAATTGCTTGTTAATTTACCCCCTTTGAGCAGCTGTCCCTTCATCAGACTACGTAAGATAGCAATTATGACAAAAACAAAAAATTTAAAATAATTGATATTAACTTTTCAACCTTAATGAAAGAGGTTTCCATGAATACCACCACGCAATGGTTAGCAAAACTTGAAGACAAATGACATAGTGAAAAATGTCTGAAATGGCTGTTCTATCCACTTTCTAAAGCATAAAAATTTCAAAGAGACATTCTGAGACTGCAGCTTCAGCGACAGAGATGGTTCTTAAAAGTGACACTTTGGCATGTCTGATCTAGAGAGCGTTGGCTACTTGGAATTTTTAAGGCGAAACAAGCAGAAGCAACTATGAACTCATTTTTTCGAAACGATCCCTGCTAATTTAAAAAAATTTTCGTATATTTTTTGAAGGACTTGCATGGAGTGAAGGAACCCATATCTAAGTTTATAAAAACTTATTCAGCTAAAATAAGCAATTGCAAACTGTGGATTTAAAACTTTATGCAAAATCAAGAAATGCGGTAATTCAAGGACGAGATTTCAATAGCTTCGCACTACATATGGCGGATCGTCTGCTACTGGTGTTGACGGGTCATGCTTGAAGTTGTCATTACTCACCTGTAATCTGACGATCTCGATTACGAGCAGTATATGGTTCCGGATTAGTGATGGATGTGCTGAAATTCTGAATGAAATTGAGGTCAGACGTAGCGAATTATAAATGGCGAACTTAGTGCTGCCAAAAGTAGATAGATCAATTTTTTCGTAACGTAGCTTCTCCTTGTTTGTCCTACAAGAGCATGGAAAACGCACCTGTGGCATTGAAAACCACTGGAGTCGCTTTGTTAGTGTTGTTGTTGAAGAGAATGGAGACAGCAAACTTCGCAGCTCATCATTGTTCCCTGCAGGTGCTCAAAGAATGTCACCAAAGCGTAGCTGAACGTCTTAAACGAACCTCCTCATGATTTGAAACGCAAAAAATTCAGCATCCCTTCTCGATCATGCGAAGAAAAAAGACTGATCTAATGGGAAGCAGCAACAGAGAATAAAATAATGGCTCTACAATGATTAATCACAGGGTATTCTACATAATTTTCCTCTGTGTTGGTATTCATACTGTTGCCAATCGGATTGATAGTAAGTTTAAATTGATCGTATTCTCTATCGATGTCATTCGTGCAACTTGCAACTTGCAGATGGATCTACGACAATTGATGCTGATTACCTCCTAGTGCTGAGTTGTTAGTGATTGGCATAAAAAACAGAAAACGATCATTAATGAGGTGATCGTTAAGAGCAGGGTCTGAGAACAATTGGCTGCAGAAATGTACCATATCCTCCCAGCTGGATGTGATGTTTGAACGAGCTAGATGAAATAGCGACTGCTTCAGATCCTAAAGAAGTATTTCAGCTGCATGGTTGAAGGAACTCATGCCGGTGTAGAAGCGGTTAATCTTCATAGTTATACAGTTCATCTCAACTTTACTCTCCGCCCGTGTGCTAGAAAGTAGCTTTTATTCAGGTTTTAATTTGACTACTATCTTTACTCTAAGTTGATGCCTACTTTGGGATTAAAGTCCGTCATCGGCTTACGCTACCGTAGCACTGATGTACAGTAAGAAACTTCCGTTTTATACTTGCGGG